TCTGGTTAGCAGTCAAATGCCTTAGGCACTACACCACCAGAGGTCCTATATACCAGAGCTCATACATATACACACACACAAATATAAATTTATAACCACATATGTTTGTGCAGTTGAAACTGACAATTTTATTCTTAATTATTTTCTAACATAAGCACATACATCTATAAAATCATAAACACATGGAATTTCCTAAATATAATACAAAAATGAGGGATTTAGTCTTTGAGGAAAATTTGTTTGTGTGTTGTTCTTAGGCATGTATATGCACCTAGTTCTACATTAGATAATCCCTGCAATTCGTTGCCTGAAAATAGTTTACTAAATAGATGCATTCTGATATTTTTCATAGTATATCTTTTCTATTACTTAAGCTTTTTGTTTTTTTTAGTAAAATACACATCATTCATTCTTGTTTCACTTTTATTATTCTTTGAAATGAACCTACCGATGGAAACTATCCACCATTTTTAAATGGACACGGAGATCTTTTTTGGTTAGATGATCTAACATTCTTGCATCTACCAAGCATTCCATAAAGTAACTTCTGTATTGAGGTAACCCCAGACTGGGAAGCCATTCATTTCCAATCCACTCATGGTTCATGTCTCCATAAGCCAGGGTCTGTAGAAAAACCGGACACTAGAATTGTTTTATAGCAGTCAAGTTTCTTAACCAATAAGATGAGATGGTAATTGAAGGACATTACCTATTATTATTGTAACTTACATTTAATTAGTATGCTGTGTGGAAACAAAGTGGAAATAATATCTAACCTGTAAGTATTTGATTTACTTTCATACAAAATGCAATTCTTGGGTAGATTTATCAGGTATGTTGACCATAGAAAATTACTATGCCCATTTTTTATTCTCAAAAGTAATTACATCTTATTCAAATATGTATTTTGCTAATAAGGGAATTAACATTACTACAATTATACAAATTCTGTTTTAAGATTATTTTCGTAGGTTTATTTTATTGTTTTCTCATTTATATTTTGTTTTATTTTAATCTGTCAGCTAAGACTCAAAAAAATTTCCCTCTTTTCAATGTTACTATTGCCATTACTACAAAACAAACCTTGCTGTCAAATAGAAACTTTGGTAAATGATGAGAAAAAGAAGCAATGAGGTTAGAAAGACAGAATGCTGAAACTTAATATGGGCATTCCTGCTACTTATTAAAGCATGCAGCCAGAATCTTATAAATAACCTTGGAAAGAATCAGTCTCTTCTAGAAATAAATCAATATAGATTCTGTTATTAAATATGACAGACATATCAGAAGTCTAAGACAGCTAACCTGATTATCTAACATAACAATATGAATGAACTGCTCTTAGCAAACACTTTAAAATGAAAATCATAGGCAACTATCACCTCCAAGCAGTTTTTTTTTCTTTAAAAAGAACCATTATTCTCTATTAATATTATAGTGTTTCTTATTTAGTTTCTTCTCATACTCTTAACTCACAATTCTAAGTATAATATATAAGTATTCTAGTGCAATTAATTCTAGGTGCTTCCCCCTTTTGTGTGATAAATTCTTAAGAATGATGAAAATCTTACAAAAATCAAAATCTAATGCAGTGCAATTTACTGAATGGCTAAATATAGAGCATGATATAATACCAAAATTTATTATATCCAAAGGTTTTAGTCACAATGAATCCTTAAATTTACTTTTGACAACATGCATTTATTTTTTTGAATATCCAACATGGGAAAAAATTGAAAAAATGCACAACTCCCTTGCAATGGTATACACTTGTTCAAAGTACAGATACCTGTCCCATAGAAATAGGAGTGACCTCTGACTGGTCATCCACAATGCTGATACAATCCCTCCAGCTCCAATCTTCAAAAACTTTCCATTATACCTTAAGGCATCTGAGACCCCAAATGCATCTTTTTTTTTTTTTTTTTCCTCCCCCTTTAGATCTAAGTTGAATAATTCTGAATTAAACATACCTAAGAGGATTTCAGAGAAATTTAAGTTACACATCATTTTTGGGGGGTAAGAAAAGAAATCATCCTTTCAAAAGAGGCCAGGCATGAATTGATGATAATCATCTTTATCCAATATGTTGATAATAAAAAGACATGTATGGCATTAAATGTACAGTGTATGTAAATATACCTACTGGCTTAATCATAAGCTAAGTGAAACTTTATAGGATATGATACATATTTTTAATGTCTCCATCGCCTATTAGATGATACATATTGCTACAAAGAATATAAGTTTCCTACCTGGGCCCAGCTTCCTTCCTCAGATTCTTTCTGTGTTAGCAGTAGGTATCATCAATAAAGCAGGTAAAGATAAATCAGTGTCAAATGAATATAGTACAAATTTTCTAGTAGAAGCAAAATCATTTGTTATAGAAAATGTTAATTATTATGACATATTATGGCACACACAGATAAATACACATATTCTTAGATCCATACAAATCGATTTAGAAGCTGAAGGAAAATACATTTTTAAATTAAATCTGTTTTGAATAAACACACATATGATATATGAAAAATTTGTGATTTTGTAAAGATTTGATATCATCAGTGCCAATCTCTGCTAGTTCTTAAAAGCATATAATTTCCTAAATGTAATGAACCACAAAAATTTTCTGATATATATATATATATATTTGATGGAGAAAACTTACACAAAGTAAATCAATGTGATAATCAAATGGATTTCAACAATAGCCATTGAAATTCAAAACAAAACAAGTCAGTCCTACTTCAAAGCAAACCAAACTAAACTAAAAAGTTCATACATTTTTATTCACAATAAACTTCTAGTTAATTGATTTTTCCAATAGGAATAAAACTGAAAGGGCATTATTTTTTTTTTTAAGTTTCTAAAAATAAAATGTTTAGCATGCCAACTTTATTACTTTATATGAAAAATGACTATAAGTATTAAAAACCAACAATTATAATCAGAGTCAACAAGAAGTTTTTTAAACCTATTCTTGGATATACCAAATTAAGGTAACACTCTTTTATTCAACAATTTTTTGTCAAGTCCCCAAAGATCTGAGATGTTCAAGCACAAGAAGCTAGATAATTATATTAAAAATGAACCTTCATTATAGACTATTCTTTTAAAAAATTAATTGGGTTTAATAACATGCATTACCTGTGAATATGCTAATACTAAACAATATGTAATACAAAAAGTTACCAATTTTGCAAAATGCATAAATAAGAACTATTGATTTCTTGATTATTGTCTTTTTTTGTAATCTGTTAGGATATGAAGACAATTCTTCATTAAAGAAATGTCAAGTGATTAGCATAAAACAAAATTGTATTGAAAAACGTTAGTTATTGTATGTTGTTGTTATGTGCCGTCGAGTCGGCCCCAACTCATAGCGACCCCTCCTTGGGTTGCCAAGGCAGTATCACTACGGAAGTAGGATTGCCCAACCTTTCTTCCGAGGAGTGGCTGGTGGGTTTGAA